TGTGTGTGTGTGTGTGTGTGTGTGTGTGTGTGCGTGTGTGTGTGTGGATGGTTTGTGTGTGAGTATATGATGAACTAAGACGTTGGAGGATTTTTTAAATTGACCGTTTCTTGATTTTTCTACTTTTTAACTTTTTATTTTGTTCCTAGCTACCTGCAATCCAGCATGCCAGAATAATGGTCGCTGCATCGCTCCCAACAAATGTCTGTGTCCTGCTGGGTACCCTGGTGACACATGTAGTCCTACGTGTTGGCCTCGGTGCGCTCATGGGGGTGTTTGTCTGAGGCACAACACATGTATCTGTCCCCGAGGCTGGGCAGGCAGATATTGTACCATACGTAAGTAGCAGTTACTTCTTCTTTGTATCACGAGACAAAATACGAAATGAAAAATGTTTATTTCACATATTTATGTGCTGTATACAGTCTGACCCACACATGAAGATTTCAAAATTTAATTCTGAAACATTGAAGCTTTATAACAATCATGTAGACCCTTTTTGTTGCTGGTATAGAACCATATTGAGTAGACTTCCGAGTGTCTACCACCTCCTGTCTTACCCCAAAAACTTTCATGCAGCCTTTTTAAACATGATCATCAGTTATTATCATCTTCTTTAGTGAACCTCTCAACCTGATTTTAGTGACACTTGCTCACACTTGGTGCTGAAAGCAGTGTCTTTTGTCTTGTAGATTTGGTTCTATTTTGAACCATCAGCCCACACTTATTGTTATTGTTGTTGGGATTTTTGTCACATTACCCAAGTGTAATCTTCAATTAGATTTTTACCCCTTGGTTCATGTGATATGTAATATGTTTTCATTTTATCTGTACTGTAGCTGTCTGCAAACCAAGGTGCCGAAATGGAGGTCGATGTGTTGGTCCTAACGTCTGCCAATGTTTAGAGGGCTTTGATGGACCTGGCTGTAACACACGTGAGAGTTTTGTTGTGGAATTGTGAATAAATTATATATTTTTGAAAAGTCTTCACAATTACAATGACAAATTCAGTTGAGGAAAAAAAGTACCTGAAGGTGTGATGCCCCGCTTAAAAATTTTTGTGAGAGTTACGGTGTTATTTTAATTTAGTGGAATTCTGAAGTGTTTGATATGAAGTGGCATATATTAGGAATATTTGCTGAGGACTTTATCGTAAAGACCACTGGGAAACCTGCATCTTTCACAAATAAGAGTGGTTTTTTTAATCCTAAAAAATGTCATAGAACCTGTGTCTGAACCTTTGTTTGTAGGAAAAAAATTATTTGACCTCTGTTATGAAGTAGATCAATTGAAAATTTTAAAACAAAGCGCAAGCTTTTAATGTGCTAAATAGTCCCAAATATAAATAAATTTGAACATTTTTTTGGAACTTCTTTTTCAAAATGTAGTTATGCCTCTCAGTCTCTGTTTAGCACTGTGAGTAATGCAAAATTCCTCATGCTTACAAAATGTGAAGATAAAGGGGAACATTTTGTAAACACATAGAAATAGATGATTTGGGTGGTCTTTTTGATGTCTGGTTTGTCTTCATAGCCACCTGCAGCCCTCCTTGTTTAAATGGAGGCTTATGCGTGCGTCCAGATGTCTGCCAGTGTCTCCCTTCATACAGCGGCCCTCGATGTCACAGGAGAAAGAGAGGTAAGGGCTTACAACTCAGCGAACAATGAACTGATAGATGTAGTTTAGTTTAGAGTCTTTGCTATTCCTTCCATTCTATTTGGGTAGCCTAGCTCTGTGCATGCAACTGATGCCATTAACACTTTGCAGTCACTTGGCGCAATAATGCGGTGGTGAAAATGATCCGTTCCAGTCACCTGGCACACTTCTGTGCCACGCCCGAGAAGTCCGTTGCAGTCGCTCTCCTAGCTGGGTGACCAGATAGGGTACTTTGTACTGCTGGCTGTGTGACTGCAAAGTGTTCACTAGTGAAGAATACTGTTGAAATTGTCCCATGACAGCCACCCATTAGTGGTTGTCTGGGACAGGTGGACATCTTGGACAGTGCCATTATGATATTTTGAAACGCAGGGGGGAAATGAAAAGTGGTTTTTGTCTAGTTATTATATTGGAGAGGTGGCCGTTTCAATAGATGGGATAGTATATTGTATATACTTGTGTAGAAATGAAAGCCAAAGTTTAAAAGATATGATCAGAAGTCTTCTTTCTAGACCCTCATTTATGCCTTCTTGACATTAGTCATAGCATACCCAGAAAAGGAAAGCTTGTGCCCTCCCAGACTGAAGTTGTTGTGAGGGCCCCACTCTTTTGCTCTTCTGTTTGCATTTTTTAAAAATCCAACGTCTTCACGCTTCCAGTTGCCCCAGTGTGTGAACCACCGTGCTCCAATGGAGGCAAATGTGTCGGAATCAACAAATGTGATTGCAAGCCAGGATATTCTGGAGCTCTCTGTCAAAATGGTAACTAGACCTTTTTGCATTTATGTTCATTCATTATAATTTGCCTCTCTCACCTTGGTATTGGGTATAGGCCCAAGATAGTACTTAACAAGATGGTCCACTCTGCCAAAAAATGTCTGCGAAAGTCCGCCCATTGCTTCAGATGGCGCTGCAATCTTTGTTTGGAAGCTCTCTTTCGTTTCTCCAGAAAAAGAATAGGAATAGTGCGCAGATCGAGTGCTGTTCATTCTGTTTGGGTTCATTCCGTGTAGAGTTTTAGGTGTTTTTTTTATATTAATGATCTCTTGCCTCTCATTCTAAAGGCAAATTAAACAAAGAAAACAGTCGCCCCTTCCACCAGAAGAGTTTTTTGTCAGCGTAACCATTTTAAGACAGTGTTTTTCCGAAATCTGAATTCTAAATTATTAAAAAACTTGTTAGTTTCATTTGATTTTTTTTCACACAAGGAGGGAAACTCTGCAAAGTTCGCGCATTTGCGAAGAGGGCGCCACGTAATTTAGAGGACACTTTTAATTGGCTCAAAGTGAGGAGTGAACCATCTTGTTATGTATGATCATTGGTATAGGCTGCCAAGAAAAGTTCTCCACTGGTCTCTGTACAGGGCGATCTTCTCCACCTCCAGTCAGCTGTGTTCTATATGTATAATTATATTACTTTCTTGAGATATTGTGGTATCAACAATGACTGTGCCCTGTCTGAAAGACTGTTCTTCTATTCAGATTCTTTGTTGTTGTAAAAAACAAAATTGTCATTGTCTACCCTTTACCAATATTATGTCAGCATTTGGCTTGATGTATCTTGCTGTCTTTACTAGCAGGGAGTGTCAACTTCCAACAGCCAGATCTAACCAGATCACAAAGCTCACTTGAGACCAATGTGTGATGAGAATGTTAATGTAGTTTATATCACTGCTTTTTTAAAAAGAGATGGTAAATGCATATTATTTCTACGACAAATGTGAATATGTCAGCCTATTCTTGAACACAAGGATAATATATGTTAATGATTGCTTTTACTACTACAGATAGGAGTGTGTTATAAAAATATTCTTTGTGTGAGGAATGTTTTAAAACAGACAACAAGAAATTTTGTTCTGTAGTCTAGGTAAAGGACTAGCTTGCTACACATAGAGTCTGTTAACTTAGTGATTGGAGTGTATTCAATGACTGTATTGTCATTATGATGGTGCTGTGTCTAATGTTTGTTATTTGACAAAAGTTTTTGAAAATGTTTCAATAACAACTAATCCCCAGCCCCAAATGCAGACTGTAGACCTCCGTGCATCAATGGAGGGACATGTGTCATTGGAAATCGCTGCCAATGTCCTCTGGGCACTCGAGGATTTCGATGCCAGATCAGGTGGGTCTACTAAAACTTATTGTTTAAAATACAGCCCTTTTTTTTCTAAGGCCCAACTTGTGGATTCTCTGACAACAACTAATACTAATGTCTCCTCTTTCTTGCTACCTAAACAACACTTTATACTGTTAACGATTATAATGAGGGATGCCTCGTAAAGGTTAATGCTCTGTAATAATAACGATTTAAAAAATAATAGTTGGTCCATCAATGTCTGATGATGTCCAGTGGCACTTGTTGGAACTGTAGTATTGTTGAAGAGATTTTACAAGTGAAATAGAAGGATTAAAGGTTAAAATTACCTGTGGCATCTGCAATGGCCAATGAGGCCAATTCTGTGGGAAAATAGTTAACCCCATTTTGAGCCTTTAAAAGCTTCATTTCCACTTGTTGATCTGCACTGCTATGCCTTGTGCAATTGGTTGACATGCCTAAAGGCATGCTGAAGGGTTTCTGAATTAACAGCTTCAACTGTTCTTTTTAGATAAAACATCTGGGGATTCCAGTAATTAAGAATAAGGGCGCACAGGCTCCTGAACATTGGTGCCATTGCTTTTAAATTGGTAACTGGAGGGTTGTATCTTTGAGCAAGACATTTAAAACAAAACTCAGACTTACAGCTTAGTGTGATACTCTGCTTGTGAAAATTGATGTTTGACAGAGTCTTACACTTTGTAGTCAATATGAGGGTTACAAAGTAGTAGTGCTACACTGCAGCAACTAGCTGTTATGTGTTTGTTTTAAAACTGTCATCATACCAAGGGGTAGGGTATTATGTATCATGTGACATACTGTACCTTGGGAAGTTTAGTACACCTTTTGTATCATGTGCAATGTTTTAGTTTTAAAATGTATCCTGAGTATATATATTGGGCACTTTAGATGGTTGAAGAACAGCATCACTTTGTATATTTATTTAATTGTTGTCTCCTAAACCTTTTCTTGGGAGCTCTCATGGTCTAGAGGTATATAGTGTTCGCCTCTCATTTAATAGGTTGTGGTTCGAAACCTGATGGGAAATTTTCTTCTCTAAAAATTGCCTCCTTTCACTTCCTTTCCTTCTCTTTAACCATGTTCTGTCACCTGCTTTCATCTCTACTTTCTGCCCTCTTCCCCCTCCCCTCCCCTTTGCCCCCTTTTCTGGGCTCCTGGCTCCTTCTGCAGTCTTTCTACTGCTACTCCTTGGTTTCTTCTCACTGCTTTCTTTGAGTCACAACACTGCTCTTAGGGTAGGTAAGATCTAACACCTAGCCTTCTCTGACAAGGGCGAAAAATCTTGGAGGTCCTGTGTGCAAGTTGCATTCTTTAAAGATCCCTTAATGGTCCAAAATCGATAAGAGTAGACTTCGGCCGCATCCGGGGCAAAATTCGAAACTAATTCCTACCTAATTGAGAATGTTTTATATATCCCACATGCTCATCATATGACCTTATGCAAATGCGAGCGCCGTAAAGCACTTGTCATAACTAAAACCTTTTCTTTTCCTCAAGCTCATGCCCATTGGTCACATTCAGCCAGTCGATACGTCGTCCTGTAAGGAGGGCAGTCAAAGAGAAGGTCACTGTCCCATGTGGTCGGTTTGGCTGGCAGCAATGTACAGAGTTCAGGTTTGTACACATTAACCTCATTTTTATACTCTTTGACCTCTTTCTATAACATTGTTTGGTTTGTGGGTACAACAGTTTTCAGAGAGAATGGAGTAAGGTGCATGTAATATGGCTTTTTGTTTTATTTTTTTCCCATAAAGTTTATTGTACTGGAAGTGACTGTAATTAAAAGTATTGTATTGTCTATGTCGATTTGTTATGTAAAAGTTACTACCTGTACAACTGAACCTGCTCTACTGACCCCCTGTCCATGACAGTCACTTGTACTAACAACTACTTTCCAGTTTCCCTTTGGTTTTTTTCTATATATAATGACACTGCCCAAGAATTTCACCAGCCAACTTAAACACTTTTTTCCTCAACAATGGGTGGCCGCCTTGGACAATTTTGAGTGTATTTTGTTGCGTACTTTTTTCCACACTTTCTGATGGAAATCAAACTCAAGTCTTCCACATGTGATGGCAAAGCACTTAATCACTACACCACAGGCGCTGGTCTCTTGAAATACTTGAATCATTCTCATGTTGAAACACACTGCAATCATACTGTGAACATATTTCAAATTTGTTTCCGCTACGCACATTGCAAATTGTATGTCCTAAATTCCTCTGTATTGATACTTTCAGATTTGTCCAGAAACTAGTGTATGAAACAAGCTACAAGGTGGGCTACCGCAGAAAGTGCCCAGGCTCTTAGATGTCCGCTAATATTTCCTGACTTTGGACATGAACGATTTATTGACTGATGAGCAGGAGATGGAGAGGAGTGGAGGGTACAAGTACAACTGAGTCCTCTTGTGTCTCATACATACTCATAACGAACTCGGACTGGATTAATTCTTGTTCATGAAAATCATTTTGACTCGGTCCTTTTTATTTTCCTAAATTTAAGCCTCATTAACTGAAGTTTACATGATATAAATACATGGTACAGATTCCACTATCTGTGAACACTGTATTGGCCCACCGTTTTTTTTGTATGGGAGAGAGAAAACACATCAGGTTACATAGAGCAAGGAGACATTCTTCATGAAATTATTGACGATTTGGGAAATGTATTATTTCAAGCTGTTATATTGAACCAAAAGATTTCATCCGTGCAACTTATCAACAACCACTTAAGTACTAATGGACTGTAGTGTAGTCATGGCAAAACTAGGGATATTTTTTTGTTTCACAAGTGGCCCACAATGTTCTGGCTTCTGTCAAGCTGCAACGACCATTAGAATTAAGCTTGTTCGAACACAATCAAGACAACTATGTCTTCTTAAGTCTATTTGCTTTTCGAATTTTCATTTTTGTATTCGCTTTAATGTCCTTTTCTTACTATGTATGTGTACATAAATTGTAACTTTATATTAATTTGAAAATGTACAGTGGAGTCCAAATAAACCAAACACTGTTACTCCGAAATCAGTGCTGAACCGACAGAAAATAAAATACCCCACTTTTTTCTTCCTTGTCGCTGTAAGGAAATTACCAATTAGCTGAATTAGCTGAAATACTCCCATTTGTAAACTGCAAAGAATTTCAAAGTTTATGTTGCTAAATCTTCACTAGCAATTCACGAGTAATGCTCATCATCAAGTCTTACATATATTTCAAGCCTGCAAAAGAGAAGAAAAAGACGTGAGAATAAATGAGTGTTGATTGTTGGTCAGAGAGGCATCGTCAGTATAGTTTGCCATTGTTTATCACATACATCAGTAGGCCTACACTCTGTGTATAGGCCTAGTAATGCAAGAATAGTGAATGTACATCGTGTGACCTTCAGTTGCTGATGGCCTATTTTCTCTTCGAAACTAGTGCACATAGGCCCTATACGTCAGCACATGATGGCATGTGGTGTGTTTCATAACCTTACTAGCATTAAGCTTTCAATCTCACTTCTTTGTCTATTCTTTTGTCTGTTCTGTGTGACTGTTTGGCAGAGCAAACTGACATTGTCAAAGAGAAAGCGTAATACGTACAGCCTGAACCTGAAATTGCACTTACGGGGAGAGGTAAATCTAGAAGAGAAAAAAAAATTCGAAAAGTGAAATTTCCTGCAAAGTTAGCATTCCCTGCTCTACACAGTACACTGTACAACAATCATCGCTATTTGAGCAAGCTGTCTAAACTGAAAAACCCAGCTAAACTGAAGAGAATTTGGCTCTTCAGCAGATTTCGGCTTAAGTGGATTCCACTGTATGTTCTAGTGTGCATGGATGGTAATTAAAGACATTATATCACTTTGCACACTGAACTCATTTTTTTTTTTCTCCTTTGAGTTTCTCACAAAGGCTGCAGGAACCACACTGTACAATAGTTCATCAAGTTGACCTGCTGTGATTTTTGTTTCCTTTGGTTTGGGCAGATAGTTTTTAAATGATAGCTTGGGATGAGAGGTCTTCCACAATTAGAAGTCAAAACAATGTCGTTAGTGAAACAGCAATACTTTAATCTGCTTTTCTGATAATACATTACAGCACAGTAGTTATCTCTGCTGTACAATAGAAACTGTCTATTTTGTTTTCTATTCAGCTGCATGCCTATGTTATATAATCATGGAGATCATCAATGAAATGCTGGGAAAATATAGCTTACCTTTTGTGCATATGTCAGCATTTTATTGTGCTTAAAAAGTGAGGGAGGCAAAAGTTTGCATTGTGATGCAATTTATCTTAAAAAACCCAAAGGCTAGATTACCAAAATTTGCATGACATGTAATCTGGTTGTGGTACATGATCTAATGACATATGTACCTTTTGTTCTTTATGCATTTTTGTGAAAATTTCATTCTGGTTCATGTGTTATGACCTTAAGTATGATTTTATTTTCATACTATCAAAATGCCAGCACTCAAGAGGTTGAGCTTGGAATAAAAGTGCAGTATCGAGTGCATTAATGTGTTAATTATGACAATGGTATAATTTGGTGAACTGGTGAGCTTTTATTTTCATGTGAGTTACAGTTACCAGAATTTCTGAAGAGGCTTATGAAAAGCCTGCCTGTGTAGGTTATTCCATGGTTGTCCAGTGGTCTTGTCATGTCAGTCTCCTACATCTCATTAACATCTTTCACTCAAATACTTTTTGTGGTAAAGTTAAGAACAAAGTTGCCATTCCTCAGGAAACATATATTCACTCGTGTTTCTTTCATACAGATGTTCATATTTTTGGTCACAATAAAGAAAATTATATTCTATGGTTCTTTGGCTTTATTGATCTTTTTCTTCAAAATAATCTTTTAAATGTAAACCCCCCCCCCCCCTGCAGCCACCATTACATAAAATGGAAACCATATATAACAGGTCCAGTACATGTAATAACAGGGATCCGGTAATAACGGGGATTTTTTAAATCCCTGTTTTTTTCCTACTCTTTGTCACTATTAAAAGTTATCGGCAATAACAGGGCTTCATGGGAGTCCAAGCAGAGACAAAGGCTCAAACAATGCGTAAAAAGTAAGAGAAAGTAGAAAGAGAGAGAGAGTGGGGAAAGAGAGAGAGAGAGAGAGAGAGAGAGAGAGAGAGAGAGAGGCAGTGATGGAGCGAGCTCACGCAAGTCATGCCACTGCAAGCACATGCAGCGGGTGAAGCGAGAGAGGGCTGCGGTGTGCTGCAGACTTTGATCTAGCCCTAAGCCTTGCTGGATTAGTCCACAGATGCTTACTTCACTTTGCATTTCTGATTTAACAGGACTTTTTCTCTGGTCCCACCATCCCTGTTATATCAGGTTTCCACTGTAACTGCATACTGGTAAGTTTAGCTTACTTGGTACCTTCAGAATGAGAGCCTGTAGTAATGTGGATTATTACCAGTAATTGTGCAAAAGAAAAAAGTGAAGATTAAAAAAAAAAAAGGGAGTTGACTACTTTGTTACCTTTAGTACACCTGTATTGTTAGTATTTGCCGTAAGTGGACACTTGCAACCCCCCCCCCCCCTAACCCCCAATCTCTCTTGCAGATGCGCGTATGTGGTGATTTATGATGTGAATAAATATTGCTTTTAAACTTTTCCGTTCCCGTCATCACCATTTTTACCACAGTGACCTGCAGAGATTAGAATTATGAGCAGGGAAAAAGATTTTTCTATGTCCCTTGGTTTCGTGGTTCCGACGGATTGGACAAGTTGAATTTCAGATGAGTTTTTCATTCCCTCGACAATATCATTATCAAATCATCCGCCGTCCCTAACTGCTGGTTGCCAAGTAGGCTTACCTTATTTGCAACTGGCTGAATTGAAGAAAACCGTAAAGTACAGGTTGTTGTAATACTACAGTTGACTCCACTTGTGTTGATCTTCAGTTAGTAGATCTTCTTCTTGGGTCCAAGCACTTATTCTTTACACAGGTCCCAGCGGTTAAATTTAAATAGAACTTCGTATGAGTTTATCTATTTTCCACTCTCCAAAGGACATCAATCAACTCATCCGTAGTCGCCTGTATTTGATTAAAGTAGGGGTATAACATATTATTGCGCGGTGGAGCCTGGAATTGAACTCTCAACTATTTTGTTGCAAGAAATTACCGAGCCGTTTGACTGGGACGTCTCAAGTTATCAAGGTTTTAACCAGTTCTAATGACAACCACTTGTACACCAGGACTTTAAAACACTATAACAATGCTCTACACACACAACTCCTGAAGAGTAGATCTACCCAAAAAATCCCAGCATAGATAAATGGTTAAGATACTACAATACTTGGTACCAGTACAGTATACAATAAACTGGAGTCTCATACGTTCAGTCTCTGCAGAACTTAAACAATTTTTGTCCAATGGTTTTTATAGGTCCTCGATAAGGCTTATCATGAGAGTTCAGCCCATTACAGATCCTCGATAAGGCATAAAAGGGAATAGCTCATAACATATTGACATAACAATTTTTTAGGGTACCCCCCTCTAATTTCTAAAACAATACACGTTCAGAGGAGGTGACACCAGTCTGTGATGAGGTTAGGTGCTTCACTGTTGCATGCAGGAGACCCAAGCTTAATATATTCCCAAGTGGGGGAGAAAATTTTTATCAAGTTTCTTGGTCTTTCCACTGGGTTGTAAGATGAATCTGAAGTTCGAAGGATATCTCACAAAGATAAAGAAGAAAAAAAAATCAGGACGGCAGGCACAGTTCGATGGATGCCTGATTTTGAGTCTTCTGTGCTCGACCTATCCAGGTTATATTGTATGTGGTTACTTCATCTCTTATACCACGTTGACACTACTAATCGGGTTCAATTGAATAGAGTCTGGGGCTAGCCAAAATTTCCTCCATGAAAGGGTGCAATCATTCTGGTACGATACAAGCAATCTGACTCGCAACCTAGAAAAACAAACGACTTTGATTTAAGGTAACAGTAGTATCTAACTATTCTAACCGAAATGTGCCAAAATGATAGCTTTTGTCCCATCCATCAAAGAAAATCTGGCTGGCTCCAACTCAATTCGATTGGCAGTACACACTTAGTATGGTATAAAGGAGTTGTACCTCTTGTTTGCATTCAAACCGGTCCTTTTCCTCCCAAACTGACTACATATAATATAAGTAAGGAGGATCTGTCCTGGTCCACAACAGTGGTGCCAACTCAATGGCACTCGAAATATTGATTGTATAATTACTATAATATTGGACAGGCTGCCTAAGACTAGCAAGACCCAGGCCAGCGTCTTATTGCTTAAACTTAAAGATTTACATCTTGAAAATATTTGTGGTTATAATCTTGGGAAAACTAACCACTTTCTTTTCCCAGTGATCTCTGTTTAGACAGATAACATGACATATATAATTATGACATAAATGCTCAGTTTTCCCCATTCTGGCGCCTGTTCAATAATGCCTGCATTACTCGCACATCTTGCAAAAGATTTGACTTCAATTCCCAGGTGAAAAAGACATTTTGTGAGAAATCTACATCCTTACCCTGGAATGTACCCCGCACTGCTTGGGCTGGCTGTGATAGACGCAATCGAAGTGCTCTACCTCCAAAACAATTTAAACCTCTCTATGGGGGAGTTAAAAACATTTACAGGAAGCACAAACACCCTGATTCATCGACAAAGAAACTAAGGTTTCTAAAAATAGACTATATATATCCTCATTAAAGTCAAGGGTTGTCCTTCATAACTTGGAAAATATAAAGTATAGTAGGTACCAGGAACTAAATTTTCAAAGTGGTTGCATGAAAAATGTATTTGTTTCATATGAAAGGCCTGTGTCTCCTGAAAATTTTAGAACCATTATTTTACCACTGTGTCAATTTCTAAGAAAATGGCAGACATTCTTTAACTAATTAAATAATAATCAAATATTGTGAAATCCGCCAATTGGCTGCAACCCCATATTTGACAGATAATAAAACAGTACCAAATGCACCAAACATCAACACATTAGCAGAGCTGAATTACCCCAATTTCACCAAGGCCAGGCGTTTCGAAGGCTGCGAGTCAGCTTACATGCTGTGTCTTCACTACCTAAGTATAGGCAGAGATAGTTAATTACATAATCACTCAAGTCTTGAAATAGATTTTTAAAAACCAAATCTTTAATGGATACAACCTCAACAATCACTCTAAAATTGCATTCCATGATTCTCAACGCTTGCACTCACAACAAACATATCATAGACCAATGATGGACACAATGATTCCAGCACGCAAACTGCAACACAAAACATTACACACAAAATGTGAAAAGTTAAACAAGTGGACGACTACAAAAACAAATCCAGTTGATCACTTCTTCTGTTTCTTCTTCTCTGCTTCTTCCTCTCTCTCTTTCTCTATCTCTGCGATGTATTTCTCAATTTCATCCAGGCCCATCATCTGTAGAGACAGGTAAATAAAACATCATCAGCATGGGTAGAAAAACAAAAAGAATATGGTGCTCACTGGGACTTGAGACCTAGAAAAACTTTCCTTTCTCATTCAATGTTAAGCTGTTGCTATATCCAGAGTAAGTAGCCCAAGATTTGGGCATTTTGTTTGCTTCCTCCTCTGCCTCCTTCTCTAACGACAATACCGATGTTGGAGCGGTATCTCTTGGTGAGTTGCAGCAGTCACAGAGCAAGAGGCAGCATAAAATAAATTATACTTATACTACCAGCATTATGTGAACAGTTGACACTTTTTTGGAAATACTACAACTACTCAACTACCCGCGCACATCTCTTTTGAAACTTAATCATCTATGAAGAGGAAAGTGAAAAAAATAACAGCAAAAATAATAAAATTAAATATTGTGGAGAACATGATATATTATATTGCAACCTAGCGTGTACATAATATTAGGTACCAAAAACTAAATTTTCAAAGTAGCTGTACAAGAAATTTATCTGTTCCCTATGAAAGACCTGCTATGCTTCCTTGGAATTTTGGTAACCTTCTTTTACCTCTTTGTTAATTTTTAAAGAAATGGCAGCTGTTTTAATATAATCAAATACTGTTGAATTCCCAATGGCTGAAAACCAATGTTTGATATAATTGAACAGTACCAAGTGCACCAAGAATAATATGTTAAAAAGAGTGGGTGAGAGCAGACAACCCTGGCATACTCCCACTGTTGTTCCAAGTATCTTTGCAGTATAGCTTTTCTATGACTTTGATCAGGTTGGTGTTGGTGTTGTATAAGTTCATGGTTGCCCACAAAGCTTCCTGTCGAACTCTGTCAAAAGCTTTTATGAAGTCCACAAATTTGGGGTGAAACTCCTGTTGGTGTTGGAGGTACTTTTACATGATGATTCTCAGGTTGAATATTTGTTAATTTGTGCTGTGCCCTGTCCTGAAACCTGTCTGTTCTTTTGCTATGATTTTCTCTGCGCGTGGCTTCAGTCTGTTGAGAATGACTTTAAGCATTACTTTAATAGGGTGGCTAGTTAGGCATTGTTTAAGATTGCCTTTCTTGGGAAGGGTGATTATCAAAGACTGAGTCCATGACGTTGGTCATTCGCCAGTCTGCCAGATCTTGTTGCAGATTATCCATAGCATGTCTATCGCCGAGTCTCCACCGGCTTGAACCAATTCTGCAGTGATGTTGTCTATTCCCGCTGATTCCCTTTTCTTCAATGATGATACTGCTGCGACTTTCTCTTCTCTTTTAAGGTGATGCTTTTGTCAGAGCATCCAGCAGCTGATATCATTTTTCTAGGACTTTCTGGTCCAGGGCAGAGCCCTGGCAGGGGGTTAAAGCATCCCCCCCTTATATTTGAGAATTTTTGGTTTTAGGGCATCCTAAGTATGTCATTTCTGGCTATTCACGCCTGCATTTAACAACAAAATAAGTGAGAAAAAGATACCTTGCATATATCATTTTCTGCTTGTGTTAATCCATATAAATCCAAAGCCCTGCTTTCTCCCTTGTACCGATATTGTACATTCATAACAGTAGTTAAACAGCTAGATCTATAAAGCTTAACAGTTAATGTTCAACTTTTCTCTGCTTGTGTTGGTTTGCACCATAATGGGTAGAATCCCTATAATAATATTATAACAGCTAGATCTAGATCTAGATAACTTGACAGCTTATATTCAACTTAAATCCACAACAATACTTCGATCGACAAATAAACAAGTCTGGTAAAAAAAAATCAAAGCTCTCTTCAGAGTTTTCTTTTCTTGGTAGGCCCAAGATCTGTTGAACCACAATCGTCATTTCTTCCTCTTGTTTACAGTGCTGGTGCTCTTCTTGTGCTTTAGAAAGTGAAAGTAAAAGACACTGTCCTCACTTTCAAATAAAAGAGCACTTCCGGTATGGGTTGGCTATTGTTGACTGTTAGTAATTACAGACATTTTTTATTTCGCATTTTTGAAAATAATGTTTCTTTTCCCCACGAATTTTCACGGAAATTTTTCCATTAGCGGAATCCTGCTAATTTACGGAAATCCGCAAAATTGCGGAAGACTGGAAGCACTGTTTTGTCATTGTCTAGTGATTGAGGCACATCTTGGTGATTCTCGTGTAGTTTTGTGGGTGTACAGTTCAGAGCACTATTATGTCTACCGGTTCTGAACTTCTTGTTCCTCAGTTAGATTATATTTCCCTTCTTTACTTAATATTGAATGAAGTGGTCCGTCCTTGTTTGGTACTTATGAGATCTTTGATGATTTGGTACGCCTTTTTACTGTTGTTTTGATTCAGGCTGTCTTCAATTTCTTCACACTGTTCTTCAATCCATTCCTCCCTAGCTCCTCTCATTCTCTTTTTCACTTGCAGATTCATCTCTCTGTATTCTTTTGCACCTTCTGGTTCATTATTCTTGTTTTTCAGCACACTTCGTTTGTCGCATAGGTCAAGGATGTCATCTGTGACCCAGGGCTTCTTTTTCACGTGATGTTTATTAGCATTGCTAGGGCAATGTTGCATGGCGGAGCCCATCCCTCTCCATACAAGGCCACAGCCTTTTTTTAAAATCCTCCCATCTGGTGGCTCGCCTTGGTCTCAATCATGAAGCCGTTAGGTTCATCTGGGAACTTTTTCCGCCCTGGCCATTCACCGCATCCAGTGGTTACGCCCAGTGATGCTGTGTTATCACCCTCTCATACGGACTGGCACGCCTGCTGAGGCAAGGTCCCGCGGTATGCGCCCGTCCATCCTCAAGGTAAGCTCTCAAATTCCCAACTGCTCAACTCCGGACAGGTCCAGGAAATCTGGGACAGCTGACAAGCCTGCTATACATCTCTCTCTCTCTCTTCTGGCGCTGTGGCTTCATAAACAGTCAGCGATGCCGACAGCACGCAGGAACTCAACACTTGCCAGGGGGTCCTTAAAAAGTGCTGAAAGTGGGTTACTGAAATATCCCAGCAGACGGGTTCTAGCACGATAGCTGGCGGGACATCTCAGGAACACATGGTCCATAGTTTCGTCCTCCTCCTTACAGGCTCGACAGGATGGATCTGGGTTGTCCACTGGCGCAATTTTGTGGAGATATGATCTCAGCTTGTGCGATTTTCCACCAGTTTTCATTTGGGAGAGAAGCCGGCGGTCCTGTTGTCTAAGCGAGGCCTCAAGCTGGTATGATGGCGGCTGGGAAAACGGCAGTTTGGGTTTCGCCTCTCTCTTCCACTTTGCGCAGGTCGATCAGTGGATGACGGCTTTAGCTGTTGAGAAATCGATTGGCGTGTCAATCTGGGTAAGTCTGCTATACATAGCACTCACCTGCAAGGGCTTCCCTCGCCTCATGACAGCCACCTCCATGTTCTTGCCCCCGGACTGGACCACTTCCAGCAAACCTTTCAGTGTCAGCTTGATACACTCGGCCTCACTGGCTGCCAATTCCTCTGTGTAGTGTTTCTCAAGGAACTCGCGCACGGTCTTGGCACTGCGTCCAATTGTATTAGCCTGCGTGCACAATATTTGTCTTGATTAAAAAATAAGCGCATTGACAATATGCTGGCTTAGAGCAAGAAAAAAAAAGGACAGATAAAAATAACAGAAGAAAAACAAAAAAGTAGGGGCTGCAAGTGTCAACCTCGAAACACCTGTGGAAGGAAGATATGATGACTGAATCTTAAAAAGATGCATAATACACATATATATTCAGTCAGGCAGAAATAAGTCAAACATGTCAGGGATTGACAAATGTGTTCAACACATCCATAAATCTGGTAAACCGATGACAAGAAGTTAAAAAGATATCAGTTGGGGAATGGTAAATTGTACAAGCTATTCCTGATATCGAATTTTACGTGTTCAGGTTATCTGTGCCTGACTGTACAGTAGTGTCCGCCTAAATACATGCCAGAGGCACGCTCTCCTCAAATGCACACTTTCGGCATACGGCAGGTTTTTTAAAAATCATATAATTTAGACACCCAAGTGCACTGTCACATCCTCTAAACGCATGCTTCATTCCACAAAACACACAGGTTAAGCTTGACAAAGGGAAATTTTCGCTACACCCTACACAGCTTTCATAAGACAAGTCTAGACAACCCGATATTCGGTGAGACTGCTCCTCACTCAAGATAGTTGAGGTCATCAAGAGCTTCTACCAAAACTTCAAGTGCGTTGCTGGAAACAGTACTACTACTTTTTAGGTAAAGACAGGAGTTACACAAGGATGCAACATGTCAGCAATTCTGTTCAACCTGGCCATTGACTGGGTAATGAGGAAAACAACAGAGGATACATCAAGAGGCATAAGGTGGACTCTCTTCTCCACCCTCGAAGATCTTGATTTTGCAGACGACCTTGAACTACTCTCCCATACCAACCAGCACATACAGGAAAAAACAAACAGACTCCACAAATACGGACGCCAGACTGGATTAAGAATAATCCAGAAGAAGACGGAAGTGATGACACTGAATGTCGGCTTCCCCAACACTGATTAGGGTGAACAACGCAGACCTGCCTATAACAGACAAATTTACCTACCTATGCAGCATAATTAAAACTGAAGCGGCACAAAGGAGGACTTAAAGAACAAACTCGGCAAGGCAAGATTTGTACACAGAAGCATGATCAACATCTGGAAGTCAGGACAGTTCAACATACAGACCACGTTAAAGCTGTATAACAGCTGTGTACTATCCACACCCCTATATGGATCTGAATGCTGGAGGATGACTGATCATGATCATGCCAAGCTATCTTCTTTTCATACAACCAGCTTACGCCAAATCCTCCGAACCTTCTGGCCTGACAAGATTTCCAAAGCAGATATTGTACGGAAATATAGGCAAGAGGACACGCCCACCATAATAACAAGGAGAAGATGGAGACGGATGGGCATGTTCTAAGAAGAGAACCAGACTGTATCAGACTCTATTGTAAAGACTGCCTTCCACTGGACACCAGAAGGACATCGCAAGAGGGGCAGACCCAAAGTGACCTGGAGACGCACAGTAGAGTCTGAAATGAAGTCCTGGAACCATTCAGGGGGGGGGGAAGGTAGACCAAGATGGCCCAAAACAGACACAGCTGGAGATCCTTTGTTGCTGCCCTAAACGCCAGATGGCGTGATGGGTAGTAAGTAAGTAAGCTCCTCACTCAGAACAAAGCCAATTATGGACAGCATGACCCATCTTACTGTCCACAGACACATACGTCTAGGACTGGGTAAGAGATGTGTTTTTATCAAAGACTGCATGAAAAGGATTGATCTCTTGAACATCTGTTGACATAACAATAAGAATGTTCTTTTGTACCATCAATTCCAACCCAACACAAACTGTCTCAACAACATTGCACCCAAAAAAGAAACACAGGACTGCAAAAATGAAATAGAGTATACATCCAGCATATGGCAGTTTTTCTGATAACACTTACCTTCCACTCGTGGTATGTCCCCGATGGGTCAGTCTGATATAGCCTGGGGGTCCCATCTAAATCAAAGCCCATAATGAGGGCAGACAGGCCAAAAGGCCGCCGACCATTGCTCTGAGTATAAATCTGATGAGGAAAAAAAAAAAAAAGAAGGAAGAAAGATTATTATTCAGCAGACCAGCTCTTGAGCCTTATAGTAAAGTGTGCACTTTTCCTGCCAGTTTAGTTTGAGGAAAGAAAAGTACATTAATACAATAGCAGTCATTTAGAGCAGGGGAAAAACTTTGACATACAGACAGAAAAAAAGGGAAAGAAAAGGAAGACCTTCCAGTCATGCCCTCCTAACCACCCACTACCCTTTATTAAAGTAGGCACAGTTGGAGTAAAAACTTGGGAGTTTTCTCAGGTCTTCACAACCCTGACCGAATTACTCATATTAAGCACTGTCCCGACAGGCAATTTCATCCACAACTTGTACAAGTACAATATTCTGAATTGATCTACATCAAAGACAGATCTTTCACTTGGGTCAAAATATATAGTTCAGAATTTCTGAAGACTGCATGTGGTAGCCTAGAAGACAGCAGACTTTACATTTAAGAGTCACATTTACGTGGTTTAAACTTTGTCCAACAACTTTCACTCCAAACAGGCTTTTCCAATTTTAAAAATCCACACCAATTCATTCCCTTCTCAGCAAGTAAGGTAAGTGGAACTGGATTTCGCCTTGACTTAACTGACACTGATTGCAAAAAGTAGAAGTAAGATCAGACCTGCTTGAGCTGTGCGATGTACTGTGTAATGTATTCCACAGTCACAGGGTCCTCCACTGTCAGCTTGTGGCTCTGGCATTCAATGCGGGCACGGTTGATTAGAATACGAGCATCAGCCGTCAAACCTGATGGGAAAACCGTCACAATAAGACCCAGGTACGGACAAGTAGTATTAACGCAATTCAACACAACAGGGGTCCATCAAATATTAATATCTACAATATCAAGTACCTGAACAATTTGAAGTTATTGATAGGAAAAAAACAACTTGCAAAGCTAAGAGAATAAAAGGGGAGAAAATGATGGGTTTATTGTGTATATGAAGTTATAAATACATGTATTCATATATATACGTAGTAAGTTAATAAAAAAAAAAGAGACAAACAATTTCAGTATTACCATGCTACACCTGCCAACCACACCATGACCCTGAAAATCGGGAGTCAGTGGAAAAAAAATTGGAGTTTCAGCAAACCTGTAAAAGGGTACATAACAAACCAACCATGGCAAATAATTAAAACATGTGTCTGGCAAATAAAAAAGTGTATTTTCCCTTCAGTTAAGGCAAGTTGCACAAATACTGCAAATAAATCTGTATTTTTACATGATTTATAATAAGTTTCATAAGACCATTAAAAATTTTGCATAATCATTTTTTTTTTTAAAATGGAAGTCTTGTTTCCTTGTTATCCTTGAGTTCCTCATGATGTTAAGTGGTTCAATAAAAAAATAAAAAATAAATAAATCGGACAAACATGTAGAGCTGCAAGCTTGAACTGCCGGAATACGGGATGCAGCCATTACACAGATGGTGCTCGGCGGGAGTAAGCTGAGCCGGGGCCGAGCCGGGGCCGTGCCGATGCGGAGCTGGACGGAACCAAAGTGCCAAAACACGCTTTTCGGAGAACATAAACCCGACTCCCGGAGTACTACGGTTAACTAGACCACTGGTATCATGCTCATTTGATAATACTCTTGAAGTAGGAAAACTTACTTGAATCCCTAATTTTGGGTTAGCTTTTAATTATTATTTAAAACAAAAATAATAGACTAAGTTATCTAAAGCAAAAATATACCAAGTGTTAAAATATATGATGACTCGTTTAACATTTTTTTCAGGGCTACATATTTGTTATTAAATAGTGTTTTGCTTTTTTTTCTTTATGTCTCTAAACATATATGCAATTCCAGAAAATATAAAAGAAAACAATGCAAGAAGCTCTGGCTCCTTACCAGCAAAAGCAAGTGCCACATGATCATCCAGGAGAGCAATCTTCCTCACAGTTCTGTCTTCTTGAAGTTTGGCAACAGCTTTCTTCTCCACTCCAAGCACAACAATATCTTTCCCCCTAACACCTACCTGCAAACAGAAGAAAACATTGAACATAAAACCAAGCATACAAAAAATACCTGATTTCCAGCACATTCACTGTGCATGAGAAAAGAGTTCCATCACTCCAGATTTTATTTTGAAAATAATGGAAACCACTATTTCAGAAATGTAAGGCAAAGGAAATCTCTTACTCTTAGTCCTGAGGCAGTGACTGTTTTCAAAATGTTCACCACAATTTCTTTCATATTTTACACGACATGAAAAATGATTAAGTGGTTGAAAATGTGGTCTCTTCTGTAACGGTAAGCCTTAGTAATTGTACAGGATAATCCGGTTTTGGCCCCAACGATAACGATGGAGTCTGGGTTTTGGCTTCACTAACGATTACTTCTAGTTCTAAACGATTACTTTTCCATACGCGTGCCAATATGATGTTTGAAGCTCAGCGATCAAAAGATATTAATTAAACTTAATTGAACTGCAAAACATCAAACTATGGTTAAAATTCAATTCTCCAGAAACCTTCACCATTTTTATAAGGTCATTTTAGCAAGCCCCCCTAAAATCCCCCTTGTTAAAAACAAGTGAAATATTACTGCGCATTTTGAACTGAAAAATAGCAGCGCATCTCTTGCTCTCTTTTGGATAAAGCATCGATACCAAGTATTTAACCCTGGAAGCGCGCAGGCTATAGGGCGTGAGCCGGACAACCCCGGAAGCATGCAGGCCTATGAAGGGCATAGATGCTGACCTTTTCAATGGAAAATTTCAGTATTCCTTAAATATGGAAAATGACATAGTAAATTGCAGGTCAAAGTTATAAATAGTGACCAGTGACGTTGCAAGTTATCTTGACTTTGTAGAGAATCTCTTGGCCCAGATATCGATCTGTAAAGTGACGCTGTCCAGCGGAGCGACTACACAGTATGTGTTATCACTTGTTCTGCTGTGCTAATGTAGTAATTGTTGACTTCATCGTATTTTGTGCTTTGTTTGTATTTATTTGATCGCCCATCATTTAAGAATGGCTCATTCTATCAGCTTTGAGAAAAGATATGGTTTTATATATATATGCCCTTTATCATCTGTTGAGCTGTAAATGGCCATTTTCCAGTTGCAGATATATATATCTCTGATATCTCAGCTGATATTCCCCCGCCAAACCCCCATGTTTACAACCGACCAGCCCTGGCGGTGGGGCATTTCGGACGGGTTACTTCCGGTGAAACGCTGAGCACTTCTAGGGTCAAGTCAGTATCGATATACAGTAACTTACTCTTGGGGCCAAAACCGGAGAATGCCAATAGTTTTAGTTAAGCTCAGCATAAAAGTAAAAGAACGGATGGATAGGATAGAGACATTCATTTCATTCAATAAATGATTATGTCATAATAACATACAACTTGTAAATAATATTATGGAGTCCCTTAAAGTGAACCCAGGGTGAGAATAGATGTGGCCTTCTTAAAATAGTCTGTGGGTATCCCAGGATGTGATGACATCACAATACTTTACTATACTAAAATGAACAGCCAATCAGGCAAGTGCGTCGTTCTACGTTTAGCCGCATCATATTCTCACCCGGGTGACCTAACCCAG